ATATACTTTGATTGAATATATAAAAAAATATATTTTGCATTGTATAAATTCACTTTTCCACATCCAAAATGTAATTGTTATATGTAAACAATGTTTGTAAATCCCAGACGCTGAAGATGATCTCAATAAAGATCGAAACGTTGGCACGATAAAGAAAATGTTTTTCTGAAACCTACATCACACCAGACCGCATCTCACGATTTCTAAATAAAAACCTTATAATCTTGATTTCAACTTGAAATAGAAATACGCAATAATTTTGAATTATACCATGTTTATGTGTCGCAGTTTTTCCATGGAATACTTTTTGTGAGAATTATCTTTGAAATGTTTCAGTTTTCACAAGCTTTTGGTAGGTACGATGACGTCTTTAATATTTAAAATCTTTTGAAAATTCTTTTAACTTAATTAATCTTTATGTAAGGCATTAGTCGATATAAAAAAGACAGTGCCATCTCTCTGCCTTACTTAAAGATTAATTAATTGAAAAGAATTTAATTGGTCAGTCGGACCACGAAACCTAATTGATTTAATAAGGAAAATGAAGTACACTTCACAAAAGCTCTCCGTGGCCATTTCATTTGTCGCAGAGAATCAAATAAATTACATTTGAAAAAAAAAAATATAAAAAAAATAGTGTCCGAGCGGATCGAAGTCTCGATAGCTCAAGTGATAGAGCAGCGGCGTTTCTAGCCGAAGGTCGTGGGTTCGAATCCCGCTCGTGGCACTGACTTTTTTATCTCGACCAATGCCTTACTTAAAGATTAATTAATTGAAAAGAATTTAATTGGTCAATCGGACAACGAAACCTAATCACTTTTGAAAAATGTATATTTCTTAGTGACCTGTTGTTTCATAATTTGTTGAAGTAGTAAGGGGCATTCTAGAATGTAGTCGTTTAGAATAAAATACAATTCAAGATGTAAATTTTGTAAATATAAACTTTGAACCAAGTATACCATTCACATAAAGTGTGGTGCTATTCTTGTGGTGTCGTATGGAAGTCGTGAATGGGGATTTTCATTCTTAGATTTGCGATTCGGTTGGATTTTATAAAATTAATTTTATGAACTATATGAGGAATATTTAGAAAAACAGAATAAACAACACATATACGACTAAGAACACGAAAAACTAATCCCTCAGCATTGGCCACACACCACTTTGAAAAACAACAGAACTTTGATTTCGACATAATACAAATACTAAACAAGGAAAAAAAATATAAACACAACTTTCTAGAAAGGATATACATTAACAGAGATACCCACAGCATTAATTACAGAACAGATACATATAAACGCAGCCGTAGCTAAGCCAACATCATAATGAAAGTAAGCTATTAAACCTTATTTTTATATCCATTATGCTTACTGGCCTTATTGACTAAACTACTTCTTTCAATTAATTATTCATCTCAACCAAGACCTTACATAAGAAGAATACTTATTTTTATATTACCTTCGTAATCGTCCTTAATAATTGTCTTCCTTTCCCATATTGAATGCCGAATCACAAATCCAATCCAGAAAATCCCTATTCTTTGAGTTAAGTAAAACCGCCTATGGTCAAAGAAATTTTCCCAGGTTTACCGCGTCTCCCACCCTGTCACAAATTATATAAAGCGGAATACAAATTCACGTTTCACAACACTTTCACACAGAACCAACTACCACCACAAGAATAGCACCACACTTTACGCTAGTGTGGAATTACTCGGTTCGAAATTTGTATTTACATCTTAATTGTATTTTTTCCAATCGATATGTTTTGTAATTTGTAATTGGTCCAAGCACTGAAAATGACCCGAATAAAGGTCGAAACGTCGGCAAAGAAGTGAAAATGAGGTTTTCTAAACTACCACATTCTTGGCCGCTCCTCACGACTTCAACAACTTATGAAACTACAGGTCACTAAGAAACACATTTTTTAAAAGGTTTTAAATATTAAAGACTTCATTGTTCCTACTACAAAGAAGTGAAAATTGAAACATTTCAAAGATAATTATTTGGAGAGATATGCGGTCTGGTGTGACGTAGGTTTTAAAAAACTTTTTTTTATCATGCCAACGTTTCGATCTTTAAATTCACTAATTTCGTGGTCCGCTTGACCAATTAATATATTACAATTAAGGTTTTTGGTTGAGATAAAAAAGTCAATGGCACGAGCGGGATTCGAACCCACGATCTTCGGCTTGATACGCCGCTGCTCGACCACTTGAGCTATCGTGACCTCGATCCACTCGGACACTAACTTCCCATCTCAACCGCACCTTTTGAATTTTCCCTCCTTTTTGCCATTTTTCACGATAGCTCAAGTGGCAGAGCAGCGGCGTATCAAGCCGAAGATCGTAGGTTCGAATCCCGCTCGTGCCATTGACTTTTTTATCTCAACTAAAAACCTTAATTAATTGTAATTACTTAGAACGTTCACATTGATGATGACGTTAATGTTGGAAGAAATATGATCTCTTGGTTTAAGATCATAACGTCTAATGCAGGAATAATAACCAATTTGAAGTTGATGATCGAGTGTCCGAGGAAAGAGAAAAAACACTGCTACAGTAAAATAATAAAGGAATTATTAGGGGCTCTATTAGTGTTGTGCAGAGTGAAAAGAATCTAAGGTGTCGAAGAGAATGGAGAATATGCTATTACATTTTTCACATATGGATTATAAACAGTAATTGACATTTTTCAAAAATTAGTCCAATTACCTACCAATAATAGAGTGAATTGTTATGAAAATTTTTGTTTGCTGAATAGGAAGAAAGAACGGTGTCTTTACTTTCTCCTCTCTACTACTTCGAAATATGTTCAATTTATAAAAAATAAATAAATAAAGGTTGTATCTGTTCTTCACAATAAGGAAATAACAAGATCATTTAAGAGAATGAACTTTTTTCAATCAATTAAATATTCGTTTTATGTAAGGCCTTGGTTGAGATGAAAAAGTTAGTGTCACGAGTGGGATTCGAACCCTCAACGGTTTTTTTAAAATGATTATTTAGAGTTAGTGAGATGCGGTTTGGTGTGATGTAGGTTTCAGAACAACATTTTCTTTATCGTGCCAACGTTTCGATCTTTATTAAGATCATCTTCAGGGCCTGGGATTTACAAACATTATTTAAATTAAAAGAGTAGAAATACTTTGATTGAATATAAAAAAGTATTTTTTGCATTGTATAAATTCACTTTTTCCACATCCTGTTTGTTAAATTTAAACAATGTTTGTAAATACCAGGCCCTGAGGATGATCTCAATAAAGATCGAAACTTATTACATTACTAGTTTCGTGGTCCGCTTGACCAATTAATATCTTACAATTAATTAAGGTTTTCTGTTGAGATAAAAAAGTCAATGGCACGAGCGGGATCCGAACCCACGATCTTCGGCTTGATACATGCTTTGTAATTCATCCAGGCCCTGAAAATGACCCGAATAAAGGTAGAGCATCGGCAAAAACATGGAAAACCCGCTATCATCAATCCAACAAATTATTAACAACTGTCACAAATTACAGGTACAAATGATTTTTCCTGTTCTCATACATGCATTGTTTTTACAGCGGCTTAAACTCGTTAGTAAGGCTTTTGTTAATAAATTTGTTCCTCTATATATATTTTGATTATGAGAAAAGTTTAAAAATATTTTATTTCCATCTATGCATTTAGTGGTCATAATTGACCTATTAATTATAATGACTTATTTAAATTAGTAGTTTTTACCTAAGATCATGGTTGAAATGAAAAAGCTTTGAAAGTTCGAATCCTGCTCATGCCATAGTTTTTCATGCCAACAAAGAAAAAGTATAATTAAATTGAAAAAATATAAATCTTGGATACTTTTTAAGTTCGCGAATCGAGATCTGTCGGTTCAGAAGAAACAAGCTTCAATTAAAAACCAATAGGTGGCGGGACGATCGCTTTCTACTTTGCAGCCAATCATAGCAAGGCATGTTGGCTATAAAGGGGATGGTAAACCTGTCAGCCTTCATATTGTTCTGACTTCTGTGTTCTCACTTCTCAAGCCATACAACATGTCAGGACGTGGCAAAGGAGGAAAAACCAAGGGAAAGTCAAAGACCAGGTCGTCCCGTGCCGGGCTTCAGTTCCCGGTCGGGAGAATCCACCGTATATTGAGGAAGGGCAACTACTCGGAGAGAGTCGGCGCCGGTGCTCCAGTGTACTTGGCAGCCGTTATGGAATACTTATCCGCTGAGGTTCTCGAATTGGCCGGCAACGCCGCTCGCGACAACAAGAAGACTAGGATCGTTCCTCGTCACCTTCAACTGGCGATCAGGAATGACGAGGAGTTGAACAAACTTCTCTCCGGAGTCACCATCGCCCAAGGCGGTGTCCTCCCCAATATCCAGGCCGTTCTTCTTCCCAAAAAGACAGAAAAGAGCGCCTAAATTTTCCGCCATTGTTTACTACGCAACGGCCCTTTTCAGGGCCACCAAATTATTTCACTAAATGAAATTAAATTGTACTTACAATATCCGTTTCTTCTAGCATTAGCGGTTAAAATTCTGTCTACTGCTTGTTAGCAAAGTTCTTTAACGCTTTATCTCACTTTCTAAAAATACATTATTATTCCTTTGTTGACTTATTGATACAGTTACACGCTTTTTAAGTACTTTTTCGTTTCTGGTAGCATTTATTAAAATTTAATGTAAGTATTAACCTAAATCAGCCAATCAATTGCCAAGTTTTATTTAAACGGTTATTTATTAAAAATCGTGGAACGTGGTGTCACGTGCACTGTAGGTTTAGAAAAACGTTTTCTTCATGCCCCCCTTTCGATCATTATTGAGATCAGTCAGGGTCTTTTTTGCTTGCATTTTAACAACAAAGTTATCTGTTTGTTTGCAGATGCTAGTTTCTTCATTTTCTTCTTGATCTTAATAAAGTCGATACGTCGCACGATAAAGAAAATGATTTTCAAAACTACATCACACAGAACCGCATCTCCACACCCTTTCGTCCTTTATTGAGAACTTCTTCAGGGCGTGGGATTTATAAACATTGTGTCAATTATACAAATATATATAAGATTAACGAATAAATAATTATTATAATCATATTTTAACGAATATGAAAGGGACAGCGTACACCTAAGATATTATGACCAATCAGGTTCAAATACAAGTCAGTTATCTTTACTGATCATTAAATTACAAAGTCACAAATTCTATTTATTTTGAATTCTTACAGGTTTGAAATTTTAGAAAGTTTGAGATTTTAATGTGTGTTTTTTTAGTCCAGGCACCTAATCCATCTTTGTTTAGGGGACATAATTGACCATGAATTATTCCAATCTATNCAGGCACCTAATCCATCTTTGTTTAGGGGACATAATTGACCATGAATTATTCCAATTAATTTTACACTCTTATTCTTTAAATGTTGTACAATTTATTAATCTTGTTTATTACAGAATCAAATTTAAAAATCATGAATCACAATGACTACTGGTAAATGTACAAACTGTTTGTTAGTAAATAAAAATAATTTAATAGCTAATTTTAAACTTATGTTGAGGTGAGTGGCCCCCAGAAGAAAAGTCCAAATTCTTTGTTCAAAACATTTATTGACAACGTTCGTATGTCTCACGTCCTTCATCAGGTACATAACCTATTAATTTATTTTAAAAAATTTAAAAGCCTTAAAAATTGAAGTAAAAAAAATTAAATAGCATAAAATCTCAAACATAATATTGATTATTTAAAATTATTATATAAAACTGCATTTGAACATGAGTTGAATGTACCAGGAATTTACCATTGTTTTTTGTGCCAGTAACACCCTTCCGGCGTCCCTGGCCAACAGCAATTTAGAGTTTTTCTCCTCTCGTCCAGGTTAGTTTATTTGTTGACGTGTCGTTCTAACCAGGTGTTTCCCAGACATACCAATGATTCTATGCCTAACCCGCTAACAAAAACTCTAAATTGCCGTTGGTCTGGGACTGCCGGAAAGGGTGTCACTGACACAAAAAACAATGGTAAATTCCTGGTACATTCAACTCATGTTCAAATGCAGTTTTTATAATAATTTTAAATAATCAGTTATGTTTGAGATTTTATACTATTTAATTTTTTTAACTTCAGTTTTTAAGGCTTTTAAATTTTTTAAAATAAATTTTATTCACTATTATTGTAGATTATGTACCTGATGAAGGACGTGAGACGTCCGAAGTTGTCAATAAATGTTTTGAACGAAGCATTGGGACTTTTCTTCTGGGGCCGCTCACCTCAACGTAAGTTTAAAATTAGCAATTGATTATCCAGCGGCCGACTAAAACAAGGACACGACAAAAATAAAATTATTTTAAAAAATGACAACTCAAATCGTTCGTTGTAGGAATTTCTAACAGATAGCGATAGTAGTGTTTTTCCACTTTGCAGCCAATAGAAACAAGGCAATTTCTTATCATTTCTCATTCCAGTTAAATTGGCCTGTATTACTTATCATAATTTATAAATTTTATTGCAGGGCGAGTTGTTTCAATGTACTAACTGTTCATAAGTAAATAAAAATAAAAATGATTAATGCAGTCTGGTGTGACGTAGGTTTTTGAAAAACATGGGCACTCTCAACACGACACACAAGAATGGCACAATTTCGCAGAAAACAAACAGTTTGAACACTGAAGATGATCTCAATAAAGATCGAAACGTTGCTCGATAAAGAAAATGTTTTCTAAAATCTACGTCACACCAGACCGCATCTCACGATTTCCGAATAATGATTATAATCTTGAACATCACGGATCGTCCGTTTTAGTAAATTCTAACAGATAGTGTTGTACTTTCTCTCCATTTTGCAGCCAATGAAAAAAAAGCCAATTTTCATTCATTTTTCCTTTACGATAAATTAACTATATTTCTCAATTAACACAATTTAGAAATTTTTCATTATCGCGTGTTGTTTCAATTCTTAAACAGAAGCATCGTTGAAGCTATGCCTGAAGTTGATATTCTAGTATTAAGCGAAATTTCCAAGACCGTATTTGACGTACAATACAAAAAAATTGCAAGAATTGTAACGCACTTTATGAAAAGCGGATACCTAAGATATTATAATGACCAATTGCCACATCAGGTCCAAACTCAGCAATTTTAATAATCACGTAAATTATAAGTGTTGATTTTTCTATTTGTTCATGTAGAAACTTGATTGTGCGAATTCTTTGAGAAACCGGTCGAAAAAAAATGTTATTTGGTGGATCAACGACCTTTAACCCTAGGTCATTATTTTCTCAAAACCACATAATCTTTCTCCTTTATCCTAAAGAAATATCGTCGATTTACCTTGAAAGAGAAATAAAAGAAATTAATTTCTTTCTATTGGCTGCAAAGTGGAAAAAGACTACTACCGCTATCTCTTAGAAATAACTGCAACGACGATCCGGCCCGTCCAGTTTGCCACATCTGTAAAATTCATGTTTGGTCATAATTTTTATACTTATTTACTTACATTTTTAATACATAGTGCATTTTTTGGTAATATTTAATAAAAGTCACTGTTGCCTAAGTTTTTTATAAAAATAGAACTGCTAGAATTAGAGTTTGGTTGATTTCCATTTATAAATTTTTTTTATAAAATGGAAAATTTTTGAGCCAATTTATTTATCATCCAGATCTCTCATCAAACAGACCAACAAAATCCTTCAAGAAACACTTAACCAAAAAGAAATCGACATATACACTTACAAATCCCTTCAAAACAGTTCTCACACTCAAGCCCCCGAAACTATAATTGAAAAACGAATTAAATCTGTTTAAAGAAAGACGGCTTTTAAAAGTAAAGCCCCTTAATAATAGAGAAAATTAATAACAAAATCCATTTCTAACAAAATTACAAAGAAATGGACAAACAAGTATAAAAATAAAAATGTGTAGTATTTAGTGACCGTTAATTAATGATTTTTTGGATATCGTCAGATGCGGTCTTGTGTGATATAGGTTTTAAAAAACATTTTCTTTGTCGTGCCAACGTTTCGATCTTTATTGAGATCATCTTCAAGGCTTGCGATTTATAAACATTGTTTAACTTTTACAAATACATGTAGGATGTTAAAAAAATGAATTTATACAATGCTAGAAAATTTTAGAGAAAAAAATAAATTTTTATAATGAGAAAATTTTAGATTTAAAAAAGAATGAATTTATGTAATGCTAGAAAATTTTAGATTTAAAAAAATGAATTTATTCAATGCTACGAAATTTTAGATTAGAAAAAATGAATTTATGTAATAGTAGAAAATTTTAGATTTAAAAAAAGAAGAATTCGGAAGCAATACAATGCTAGAAAATTTTAGATAAAAAAAATGAATTTATACAATGCTAGAAAATTTTAGATTATAAAAATATGAATTGATACAATGCTACGAAATTTTAGATTAAAAAAAATGAATTTATGTAATGATAAAAAATTTTAGATTTAAAAAAGAATGAATTTATACAATGCTAGAAAATTTTAGATTCAATTAAAGTATTTGATTTCCGTGTAGATGTGTCATTCTTGTGTGTAGTGTTGAGAGTGCCAGTGAGATATTGCTGCCTTGCTGGTTTATGTTTACATACGTTGGATTTTGAAGGGGTGGGGAAGGAAGTCGGGATAGAAAGACACTTTTATACGAGGAATCGGCTTCTGTGAGGCGAAAGGAGCCGACAACGGGAAAAAACGTGGGTAATGGTTCGGCCTGATTATCCTTTCAGGATTATATAGACGGGGATAATTAGGGCAAGGAAAGCCAAATTGTTGAAGTATTAGACTATATAGAAATGTTTGATGTGTGGAATGTGGCGATTGTTTTATATGTTTTGTGTGATGATATATGTATATTATCGACATTGAATCACCAGACCGCACCTCACGATTTCCGAATAATCATTTTCTATATTGTACCAACGTTTCGATCTATATTTAGATCATCTTCAGGGTCTGGGATTTACAAACAGTGTTTAGATTATGCAAATACATGTAAAATGTGAAAATGAATTTATGCAGTGATGTAAGCAATATAAGGCCTCACACAGGTAGTAGTGGTAGTGGTGACTACTTAGAATATGCTTCAATTCAATGTTCTTCGATTCAATGTTTGGAATGGCTGGCATGTAATTTCGACTTAAACCCTGTCAAACACTTTTGGGAGTTTTCAAAAGAGGGTAAAAAGTCGCCCAGTGATGCCAGAGAATGCGCAGTAATTAAGATGTTGTTGGAGTATGTAAATATCCACATCCTAGCACTATGTGTGGAATTGATGATTGTTTTATATGTTTTTGTGCGTTATATGCAGGTTTTTGATATTGAATGTGATTTATGATATTAGCATAGCTGCGCCTCAGTTTACGTGTCTTTCTGTAATTGATGCTGTGTTTATCTCTGTTGATGTAAATAATTTGTAAAAAGTTACGTTTATGTTGTTCAGTGAGTAATATTTTTGGATTGTTGAAATCGAAATTGTGTTTGTGTTCAACATGGTAGGTAGCCATTGCTGTACGAATTTGTTTGGGTTTTTTTATGTAAATTTTGGGGAAAAAGGGTTTGAAATGTTTTATAGTTTTTGAAGGCTATTTTAAGTTATCGGAAGTTAACATAACACGATAGCAACCCGATCTAGCGCCTTCAGGAGTAACCTGCAATATCAGTACTATGGAAGACCCTTGGAATGTTGTTAAGCACGCTGGCCACATACGCTTGACTCTTCCATTCCAAATATATATTGAGCCAAATATATATTCCTAAACGAAAATAGTACAACTTAAATCCCCATCGAGAACGTTAGAAAGAAGCTAAGCTAAAGCTAGTATTAAAAATTTATTTACAAAATACCAACTAAATTTCATAGACATACTTTAAATTTTAAAAGCAACTTTTTGGGATGAAATTTTGATTAGTGAAGTCATTTTTTGGTGGCCCTGAGAAGGGCCGTTTGAAAAGTAGCAGAGAAACGGTTTAAGCACGTTCTCCTCGGATACGTCTGGCTAGCTGGATATCTTTAGGCATGATAGTCACTCTCTTGGCATGGATGGCACACAAGTTAGTGTCTTCAAAAAGACCGACCAAGTAAGCTTCAGCAGCTTCTTGAAGGGCCATCACGGCAGAGCTCTGGAAACGAAGGTCAGTCTTGAAATCCTGAGCGATTTCCCTGACCAACCTCTGGAAGGGCAATTTCCTGACGAGGAGCTCGGTGCTCTTCTGGTACCGACGGATTTCCCTAAGGGCGACGGTTCCGGGCCTGTAACGATGGGGTTTCTTTACTCCTCCGGTGGCCGGAGCCGATTTCCTGGCTGCCTTGGTAGCAAGCTGTTTCCTAGGAGCTTTTCCTCCGGTGGATTTACGTGCTGTCTGCTTCGTACGTGCCATAGTAGTGCGATCTGGACGAACTCACAACGAATGATACCGGAAAGGGGCCTGGACGAGTATTTATACCCTAAAGCGAGGAGTGGGAGCGTGCTCGTGGTGGGGCAAACGATCAGCATGTGACGCCGACGACCGTTACAACTTTGCACCTTGTCCTTTTTCAAAAGCAAAACTTGCCTAAAAAGCGAAAATGTCCTGGAAAATATTATACCACACATCAACAAAGCTGTATTAAAAAGCGTAAAAAATTGGGAAAATCTCACAGAAAGTACTCCATAGAAAAACTGCGACACCTTGAACATGGTCTAATTCAAAATTATTGCGTAGAAGAAATTACCATAATTTATGTGTGTATGGAATACTTGGTTCAAAATTTATATTTGCAATATTTACATCTTAAATTGTCCTTTTCCAATCAATAATATGTTTTCTAATGGGGGATCGGCGCTATCTCCCGAGATCCGAGGTCGGATTCGACATTAGCTCCCCGAGCGAAAGAAGGAATTTTTATTGTTGAGTGTGATGCCGATGCCGGTCGGATGTAAACAATCCGAATTCCAAAGGTTTTATCTCCAGTAGATATTCACACGAGCATGACCACCTGAATGCCAGTCATTTATCAGGGTTCGCAAATCACCAACCTCCGGAAAAAATAGATGAACAATTCACTACCATCAGAGCTGCGGTGAAGAGAAAAGCGACTGATCCACTTGTGCTGGGTAAGGGTTTTTCCCCCTAATAATATGCCCAATACATTGTAGAATTAGGTACGTTGTAACAATGGTGTCGGGAACTGATTTTTTTTTTTAAACTAAAAATATTCATTTTACTACACGTCTTTCTAGCTTCATTGTACTAATTATATTTTCATTTAATTTCATTAATTGTATATTTTGGTATTTGAGAGCTTTACTCCTTTTTACGCCGGGGAGCTACTCTCGAAAATGTGTAGGTCACATTCGCAAAAAATGAGAAAGGTGATTTCCTTAACTAATTAATTCATAATCGAAGAAACGAAAGAAAGGGAAACATAAAAATAAACGATAGCTCATGTGGTTAGAGCAGCGGCGTATTGAGCCGATTTCGTGGGTTCGAAACCCGCTCGCGGCACTAACGTTTTCAACTAAATCAAGACCTTTCAAAAAAAGAATAATTAATTGATATAAAAATAAAATGTTGAAGTCATGAGGAGCTATGAAGAATGAGGTAGTTTAGAAAAACACCTGTTTTATTTTTTTTGTCGTTCCGACCTTTATTCGGGTCATCTTCAGGGCATAAAGTGTGGTGCTATTCTTGTGGTGTGTCTATTGGTTTTGTGAAACAACACGAAACCAATATGACACCAAAAGGACACACACTCCGTGCCCTGAATATGACCCGAATAAAAGTCTAAAGGTCGAAACGTGAGCAGAAAAATAAAAAAGTTTTTTTCTAAACTACCTCATTCTTGACCGCTCCTCAGGACTTCAACAAATTATGAAACAATCAGTCTCTATGAAACGAAACACATATAAAAACTTCGATTGAGTCTAAAATTTCTACCATTGACTAACAGTAACTAACATTTACTTGTATAATTCATTTTTATATATCCTGCATGTATTTGTAAAATTCAAACAATGTTTACAAATCCCAAGCCCTGAGGATGGAAAAAATAATTGAGTTAACTTAATAATTGAAAAAAGAATTTATTTGGTCAAGCGGACCACGAAACCTAATAAAAGAAAAAAATAATAATATGGTCAATTATGCCACTAAACGAATATGGATTAATTTAATAGTTAATTAATTACTTCACCAATAGTTCCCCGTGGCCATTTCATAAGTCGCTGAGAATCGAATCCTAATTACACTACATTTGAAAAACGGCAAAAAGGGAAAATTCGATCAATAGTAGGTTGAGATGGTAGATGATGGCCGAAGTGTTGTGGGTTCGAATCCTGCTCGTGGAACAAATTTATCATCCCAACCAAAAACGTTAGATGTAAAGAACATTAACATGGCAATTACGGCCACTAAACGTTTTTTTCCTTCATAGCTGATCTCTTCCCCCGACATAACTAATTATGAAACAGAAGGCCATAAATTTCAAACAATTGTCTAATTACAAACTGATTATATGAAAAATTTCAATTAGTGATGCAAGTGGTGGCCCTGAAAAGGGCCGTCGAAACGGTAGAAAAATAAAGCCGCATTTAACCTCCGAAACCGTAGAGAGTACGTCCTTGCCTTTTCAAAGCGTAGACGACGTCCATAGCCGTAACGGTCTTCCTTTTAGCGTGTTCGGTGTACGTGACTGCGTCTCTGATCACGTTCTCCAAGAAAACTTTCAATACGCCACGAGTTTCCTCGTAGATCAAACCGGAAATACGCTTGACCCCACCACGCCTGGCGAGACGACGGATAGCGGGCTTGGTGATACCTTGGATGTTGTCACGCAAGACCTTCCTGTGACGCTTGGCGCCTCCTTTACCCAAACCTTTTCCACCCTTGCCACGTCCGGACATTGTTGCTTAGTAGAGTACCAGGCGAATGTGACGAACTTTACATCCGAACAGGTTTTTATACTACCGTACTCGATCGCTATTGGACGCTTTCTCCCCACCACCAACCACCCCTCAATCAAACCTATACAAACCATGTCACAATTCTTGGTGTAACGAGCGGGATTCGAACCCACAACCTTTTTTTAAAATGATTATTAGAGATCGTGAGATGCGATCTGGTGTGATGTAGGTTTAGAAAAACATTTTCCTTATCGTGCCAACTTTTCGATCCTTATTTGAATTCATCTTCAGGGCCTGAGATTTATAAACATTGTTTAAATTATACAGATATATATATAAGATTATACAATGTGAGTATGAATTTATACAATGATATACACAATATAGAAATTTTAGGTTTAATCAGAGTATTTCTACACACTTAAAGTATGTGTTTTCTGTGTAGATATGTCACTTTTGTGGGTCGTGTTGAGAGGTAGGTGACCATAAGAACATAAAGATATATAAACATATCTTTATAACTACCCCGAACACATAATTAACAGAATAATCAACGATTACAACTCAATATAACACCACCCGCTATTAGTAATGGCACTACATCAATTCTATTAAACACAGGCAACCAACAAAAGTATCCATTTCATTCATTTGCGTCCTATATCACAATTTAAACACATTTCTATCTTCCGATAACTTAAAATAACCTTCAAAAACTATAAAACACTTCAAGCCATTTTTCCCCCAAAATTTACATAAAAAAATCAAAAGCAAAAAACCTAAACAAAATCGTACAGCAATGGCTACCCACCATGTTGAACACAAACACAATTTCGATTTCAACAATCTAAAAATAATACACACAGGACAAAACAAACATAAACGTAACTTTTTAGAAATTATTTACATCAACAGAGTTAAACACAGCATCAATTACAGAACAGGCACATGTAAACTGAGTCGCAGCTACGCTAATATCATAAATCAAATTCAATATCAAAAACTTACATATAACACACAAAAACATATAATACAAATATAAAACAATCATCAATTCCACACATCAAACATTTCTATATAGTCTAAGTTTCCAACAATTTCCTTTTGTTTTCCCTAATAACCCAGTCAATAACGTGGCACATCTACATAGAAAACACACACTGAATGAGTACAGATACTTTGATTAAACCTAAAATTTCTATTTGTGTACATCATTGCATAAATTAAATCTTATGTGTATTAGAATAATTATGATAAGATGAAGCTAGCATCTGCAATCAATCAAATAACTTTTTTGTTAAAATTCAAGCAAAAACAAGACCCTGACTGATCTCAATATTGATCGAAACGGGGCATAAAGAAAACGTTTAGCTAAACCTACAGTGCACGTGACTCCAACGTTTCACGATTTTTAATAAATAACCGTTTAAATAAAACTTAGCAACTGATTGGCTGATTTAGGTTAATACCTAAATTAAATTTTAATAAATGTTTCCAGAAACGAAAAAGTACTTTAAAAAGAAATAACTGTATCAATAAGTCAACAAAGGAATAATAATGTATTTTAGAGAAAAGTGAGATGAAGCGTTAAAGAACTTTGCTAATACTGTATAGAGATTAGTGACCGTTCATCGATAGTTATTCAGATATCGTGAGATGCGGTCGGGTGTGATGTAGGTTTCAGAAAAACATCATATGTTTGAATATAAAAAATATATTTTGCATTGTCTAAATTCACTTTTCCACATCCTAAATGTAAACATTGTAAATCCCAGGCCCTGAAGATGATCTCAATAAAAGATCGAAACGTTGGCACGAGAAAGAAAATGTTTTTCTGAATCCTACATCACACCCGACCGCATCCCACGATATCTGAATTGCTTTTCTAATAGTAGAGGGAATTTTAACCACTAATGCTAGAAGAAACGGATATTGTAAGTACAATTTAATTTCATTTAGTGAAATAATTTGGTGGCCCTGAAAAGGGCCGTTGCGTAGTAAACAATGGCGGAAAATTTAGGCGCCCTTTTCTGTCTTTTTGGGAAGAAGAACGGCCTGAATATTGGGGAGGACACCGCCTTGGGCGATGGTGACTCCGGAGAGAAGTTTGTTCAACTCCTCGTCATTCCTGATCGCCAGTTGAAGGTGACGAGGAACGATCCTAGTCTTCTTGTTGTCACGAGCGGCGTTGCCGGCCAATTCGAGAACTTCAGCGGATAAGTATTCCATAACGGCTGCCAAGTACACTGGAGCACCGGCGCCGACCCTCTCCGAGTAGTTGCCCTTCCTCAATATACGGTGGATTCTCCCGACCGGGAACTGAAGCCCGGCACGGGACGACCTGGTCTTTGACTTTCCCTTGGTTTTTCCTCCTTTGCCACGTCCTGACATGTTGTATGGCTTGAGAAGTGAGAACACAGAAGTCAGAACAATATGAAGGCTGACAGGTTTACCATCCCCTTTATAGCGAACATGCCTTCCTATGATTGGCTGCAAAGTAGAAAGCTATCGTCCCGCCACCTATTGGTTTTTAATTGAAGCTTGTTTCCTTCTGAACCGACAGATCTCGATTCGCGAACTTAAAATGTATCCAAGATTTATATTTTTTCAATTTAATTATACTTTTTCTTTGTTGGCATGAAATTTAATTATACTTGGCATGAAAAACTATGGCATGAGCAGGATTCGAACTTTCAAAGCTTTTTCATTTCAACCATGATCTTAGGTAAAAACTACTAATTTAAATAAGTCATTATAATTAATAGGTCAATTATGACCACTAAATGCATAGATGGAAATAAAATATTTTTAAACTTTTCTCATAATCAAAATATATATAGAGGAACAAATTTATTAACAAAAGCCTTACTAACGAGTTTAAGCCGCTGTAAAAACAATGCATATATGAGAACAGGAAAAATCATTTGTATCTGATTTTTTTTAGTGACGGATGTTTAATAATTTGTTGGATTCGTGAAGAGCGGTTTTTCATTTATTTGCCCCTTAGACCTTTATTCGGGTCATCTTCAGGGCCTGGGTGAATTACAAAGCATATGTTCATTTTAAAAAAAATACAAATTACGATGAAATATAAACGTATAATGATAATTTAGAGCTTGTGACATACTGTCTGATTGATGTACGTTTAGAAAAACTTTTTTTTTTATAGTGCCTACGTTTCGATCTTTAATTAGATCATCTTCAGGGCCTGGGATTTATAAACATTGTTTAAATTATACAAAAATATATAAGATTAACGAATAAATAATTTATTATAACATATTTTAACGAATATGAAAGGGATGGCGTACCCCCTAAGATACTATGAACAATTGCATCGTCAGGTTCAAATACAAGTCAGTTATCTTTACTGAGCATTAAATCAGAAAGTCAAATATTCTATTTATTTAGAATTCTTACAGGTTTGAAACTTTGGAAAGTTTGATATTTTAATGTGTGTTTTTGTTTGTTCAGGCACCTAATCCATCTTTGTTTAGGGGACATAATTGACCATGAATTATTTCAGTTAAGTATTCTTTTTATCTAAGGTTTTTTAAGACAAAAACTTTAGATAAAAGGAATAATTAATTTACACCTAATTTTACTCTCTTATTCTTTAAATGTTGTACAATTTATTGATCTTGTTTATTACTGAATCAAATTTGAAAATCAGGAATCACAATGACTACTGGTAAATATTACCAAAAAGTTACCATGTTCCTTAGTAAATAAAAATAAAATTGTTTTAAAAAAGACAGCTCAAATCGTTCGTTGTAGGAAATTCTAACAGATAGCGGTAGTAGTCTTTTTCCACTTTGTAGCCAATAGAAGCAAGGAAAGTTCTTTTCATTTCTCATTCGAGTTAATTAGCCTGGTATTACTAATCACAATTTATAATTTTATTGCAGGGCGAGTTGTTTGAATTGCATAGGCAGAAGCAATGTTGAAGTTACGCCTGAAGTTATTCTTATTATATTAATCTTATTATTATATTAATATTAAGTGAAATTTCCATGACCAAATTTGATGCCCAACACAAGAATTGTAATAGCTTTTTTACAATTGCATCGTCAAGTTCAAATACATGTAGTTATCTTTACACAACACTAAATCAGAAAGGCACAAATTAATTTTTTTAGAATTCTTACAAGTTTGAAGTTTAAAAAAATGTGTTATTTCATTTGTATTGTTGTTAATCCATTCTTGGTCATTTTATTGGAAATGGATTTTACTGTTAGTATTGTTACTGTATTGAGGTTTTTTTTAATGAATTTTCATATTGTCCAAATTTTTAACACGATTTTTAATTTTAATTTTTGGAACTGGATTCTCAACAGTACTTGCTAAAAAAGTAAACTTGTAGCAAATCAAGCCTCACACAGGTGACTAAGAATGAGCTTCAATTCAATGTTTGGATTGACCGGCATGTAATCCCGACTTAAACCCTGTCAAACACCTTTGGGACGAATTTCAAAAGAAGGTAAAAAGTCGTCCAGTGATGCTAGAGAATTCGCAGTAATTAAGATGTTGGAGGAGTATGAAAATATTCCACATGCTGGCAACTCCAAATTCCAATGATCCTGGCTCTGTGGGACCTTGCATTAAACCATCGCCAATTAGTAGCATACAAGATTTTAGTGCAATCTTGCTCAGACCAATTGATGTGAATTCTTTTGGAACTTAACTGAGTCGCTCTGCGCTTTGTCATGTTCTGGACCAGTTACAGGCCTTCTCCCACATAATCCAGCATCCGAAAGTGCGTAAACTGTCATTAACATTTCTAACTTGTTTTTTTTTTTTGGCGTTATGAACTATGCATATTAGCCATGTGACAAATTCGTNCCTAAAGCGAGGAGTGGGAGCGTGCTCGTGGTGGGGCAAACGATCAGCATGTGACGCCGACGACCGTTACAACTTTGCACCTTGTCCTTTTTCAAAAGCAAAACTTGCCTAAAAAGCGAAAATGTCCTGGAAAATATTATACCACACATCAACAAAGCTGTATTAAAAAGCGTAAAAAATTGGGAAAATCGTTCATGTTAAATATAGGGATTGTTAAAAACCTTATAATATTAATTCATTTACGTTTTTGTAGACAATTGATCAAGTTACATTTTCAATCAGTTATTTGAGAAACCTTATAATGTGCGGTGATTAGTGACCGTTAATCGATATACTTACAATACCCATTTCTTCTAGCATTAGTGATTAAAATTCCGTCTACTATTAGCAAAGTAATTCAGAAATCGTGAGATGCGGTCTGGTGTGATGTAGGTTTCAGAAAAATACAACTTTGCACCTTGTCCTTTTTCAAAATCAAAACTTGCCTAAAAAGCGAAAATGTCCTGGAAAATATTATACCACACATCAACAAAGCTGTATTAAAAAGCGTAAAAAATTGGGAAAATCTCACAGAAAGTACTCCATAGAAAAACTGCGACACCTTGAACATGGTCTAATTCAAAATTATTGCGTAGAAGAAATTACCATAATTTATGTGTGTATGGAATACTTGGTTCAAAATTTATATTTGCAATATTTACATCTTAAATTGTCCTTTTCCAATCAATAATATGTTTTCTAATGGGGGATCGGCGCTATCTCCCGAGATCCGAGGTCGGATTCGACATTAGCTCCCCGAGCGAAAGAAGGAATTTTTATTGTTGAGTGTGATGCCGATGCCGGTCGGATGTAAACAATCCGAATTCCAAAGGTTTTATCTCCAGTAGATATTCACACGAGCATGACCACCTGAATGCCAGTCATTTATCAGGGTTCGCAAATCACCAACCTCCGGAAAAAATAGATGAACAATTCACTACCATCAGAGCTGCGGTGAAGAGAAAAGCGACTGATCCACTTGTGCTGGGTAAGGGTTTTTCCCCCTAATAATATGCCCAATACATTGTAGAATTAGGTACGTTGTAACAATGGTGTCGGGAACTGATTTTTTTTTTTAAACTAAAAATATTCATTTTACTACACGTCTTTCTAGCTTCATTGTACTAATTATATTTTCATTTAATTTCATTAATTGTATATTTTGGTATTTGAGAGCTTTACTCCTTTTTACGCCGGGGAGCTACTCTCGAAAATGTGTAGGTCACATTCGCAAAAAATGAGAAAGGTGATTTCCTTAACTAATTAATTCATAATCGAAGAAACGAAAGAAAGGGAAACATAAAAATAAACGATAGCTCATGTGGTTAGAGCAGCGGCGTATTGAGCCGATTNGACGACAAATGAAATGGCCACGGAGAGCTTTAGTGAAGTATACTTCATTTTAAATCATTAAATTCACTAATTTCGTGGTCCGCTTGACCAATTAATTTTTGATCTTTAATGATTTTAATCCAATGGTCGAGAACTTTTGACAAGCAACAGAACAGCTCGGTTAAGTTTCGATAGAAATCCCATCAGTTGGTCTGAGGAAGATTGGATTAAAATCTTGTTTTCGGTTGTGTCAGTGGTTCTTGTTTGAGATCTTCTTACGGCCGACAGGTTTGGAGAAGAACGGGGATATATCCCCGCAATATTTTCACTCTGGAGAAGCTATTGAGGAGGTGGTGATAGGGTTTGGGCAAGCATTTCTATGTAAGGTCGCACAAACTTGATCTGCAGCGAGTTTCCATAAAAGCTGTGCGATACATTGTATCATCTTCAGCGCTCAAAGTGTTTGTTTTCCGTGTAGATGTGTCGTTCTTTTGTATCTTGTTGAGAGTGCCCGACGAGGGCCGAGGGGTTTTGTGTGAAACAACACGAAACCAATATGACACCACAAGGATAACACACACTTAGTGCCCTGACTATGACCCGAATAAAAGTCTAAAGGTCGAAATGTGGGCAGAAAAATAAAAAAGTTTTTTTCTAAACTACCTCACGACGTCAACATATTATGAAACAAACAGTCTTTATCAAACGAAACACACATATAAAAACTTTTTTTTGTTTTTTACGAGGGCTCGCAATAGCAGAGATCATATAAACCATGAGGGTGCCGGTGTTTTTGAAAAAAAGCCCATTTGTAAGTATGTCGGGTTCGAATGCAGGGCCGCTGGATTCGAACCCGGGACCTTTACCTTGAGCGCCGTGTCAAAGACTATATAAAAACTTTGATTGAGTCTAAAATTTCTAACATTGTTTATTTCATTTTTACATATACAGCATGTATTTGTAAAATTTAAAGAATATTTATAAATCCCATACTCTGAGGATGAAAAGAATAATATGATCAATTTGTCCACTAAACGAATATGGATTAATTTAATAGTTAATTAATTACTTCACCAATAGGTCCCCGTGGCCATTTCATAAGTCACTGAGAATCGAATCGTAACTACACGACATTTGAAAAAATGGCAAAAAGAGGGAAAAAATTCGATCGGTTGTAGATTAAGATGGCCGAAGTCACGATAGGTAAGTTCGAATCCTGCCCATGGCACAAATTTACCATCTCAACCAAAAACTTTAGATGAAAAGAATAACAAGGCAACTAAACATTTATTTGCTTCATAGCTGATCTCTTCTCCCGACTTAACTAATTATGAAACAGAAGGCCATAAATAACCAAAATTGTCTAATTTCAAAAAGATTACTTGAAAAAATTTCAATTAGTGATGCAAGTGGTGGCCCTGAAAAGGGCCGTTAAAATAGTAGGAAAAGTTAAGCCAAGTTTAACCTCCGAAACCGTAGAGAGTACGTCCTTGCCTTTTCAAAGCGTAGACGACGTCCATAGCCGTAACGGTTTTCCTTTTAGCGTGTTCGGTGTACGTGACTGCGTCTCTGATCACGTTCTCCAAGAAAACTTTCAATACGCCACGAGTCTCCTCGTAGATCAAACCGGAAATACGCTTGACACCACCTCGCCTGGCGAGACGACGGATAGCGGGCTTGGTGATACCTTGGATGTTGTCACGCAAGACCTTCCTGTGACGCTTGGCGCCTCCCTTACCCAAACCTTTTCCACCCTTGCCACGTCCGGACATTGTTGCTTACTAGAGTACCAGGCGAATGTGACGAACTTTACATCCGAACAGGTTTTATACTACCGTACTCGTTCGCTATTGGACGCTTTCTCCCCACCACCAACCACCTCCTTCTAGCAAACCTATCTCTCACTCATTCAACCTGATGATGAGCGTTTAATGGTTGAAATCCGGACATTGATAACAACTGCGAGTGAGAACTATCTTTTAAAGTAATTGATCAACTTACTCATCCCACTTCTAAAATTTCTATGATTATGTTTTTACAACAAAATGAACAAAGCTCTTATCGTGAGATGCGGTCGGGTGTGATGTGGGTTTCAGAAAAACATTTTCTTTATCGTGCCAACGTTTCGATCTTTTATTGAGATCATCTTCAGGGCCTGGGATTTACAAACAATGTTTACATTTAACAAATACATTTAGGATGTGGATAAGTGAATTTATACAATGCAAAATATATTTTATATTCAAACAAAGTATTTCTACTCACTCAAAGTGTTTGTCTTCTGTGTAATTGTGCCATCCTTGTGTGTCGTGTTGAGAGTGCCAGTGAGATTTTGCTGTTTCATGTTTATATATGTTTGGTTTTGAGGAGGTGGGGAAGGAAGTCGGTATATAAAAGACAATTTTGTGCAAGGCGTCGGCTCCTTTGAAGTGAAAAAAGCCGACAAAGGGGAACAATGTGTTGGTAATAGTTCGGCCAGATTATTCTTTCAGGATTATATAGAAAGGGGATAAATAGGAAAAGGAAAGCTAAATTGTTGGAAAATTAGACTATGTAAAAAGTATTTGATGTGTGGAATGTAATGTAATGATGTATGTATGTTATTTGTATTGTATTTGATTAATGATATTAGAGTAGCTGCGACTGAGTTTGCATGTATCTGTTCTGTAATTGATGCTGTGTGAAACCACAAAGCTCTTATATATTTAAAGCTTATATTTCAAAACTAAATTGGAAAATAATGAGAATCAGGAACGTTACAATGTAAAATACATTATAATTCTGTATGTAGAAAAAAAAACTATTCAAATTTGTAAATAGTCTGATTGACTTGAGACTTTTATTTAAAAAAAATCAGAGATTTGCCATATTTTCTTTTTTAAGCATAATTAAAAAATTTGTTTATAAAAATATGTAAAATACAGTGAAAGGATTAACGGACAGTCATGGTGTCACTACAGTTGTCTTTTTTCTGGAAGTGTCCTCTAAAGAGATTTTTTATTATTATAAAATGCGGCAATGCATGAAATTGCGACATTGCATTATTTGTTTATGAAAAGTCAGTTCTATTATTTTTAAATTTTGAAAAATCCAGGATGCAAGAAATGGAAATCAAATTGATTTAAAGGATTAATTTATAACCGGGTGGTATTGAGGAAAGGAGTAAATATTTGTGGCAGAAAGTGTAGATTGGTGTAATTCTACCATTGCAATTAAATGTGGTTAAAGTTTTAAAAACGTGGTTTTGAATATAAAAAAAACCTGAATTGTAAATATTTAAATTAAAAAAAACAAAACATTTTTTTCGATTGATTAAATAATAATTTATGGTCACCAAAGCTCCAGGATAAAGCGATAAATAAAAATTAAGTACTATTCATAAATTATTCAGAAATCGTGAGATGCAGTCTGGTGTGTCATCTCACGATTTCTGAATAATTTATGAATAGTACTTAATTTTTAGTGCACTCTCAACACGACACGCAAGAATGGCACAATTACACAGAAGACAATCACTTTGTGCCCTGAAGATGATCTCAATAAAGATCGAAACTTAGTTATTCAGATAACGTGAGATGCGGTCGGGTGTGATGTAGGTTTCAGAAAAACATTTTCTTTATCGTGCCAACGTTTCGATCTTTTATTGAGATCATCTTCAGGGCCTGGGATTTACAATCTTTGTCGTTTGAATATAAAATATATTTTGCATTGTATAAATTCACTTTTCCACATCCTAAATGTAATTGTTAAATGTAAACATTGGTTTAATTAAAAAAAAGTAGGATTTTAATTAAATTGGTCATCAAGCGGACCACTAAATTAGTGAATTTTATTAAAGGTCACTACGCATAAACCCATTATATTCAGTGGATCTATTGTCCAAATTACTTCTTTCAATATTTTTAAGTAAGTCTTGGTTGAAATGAACTAGCGTGTAGAGAGATTTTGTCGTTTATTATTAGCATGATTTGAACTAAATTAAAATAAAACTGAGTCGTTTTAAATCTCCCAGTATAAACTTCTTATACTGGGACTCTTTGGGTCCGACTGTTCTTACTTGAGTGGTGCTGAACAGTCATCTTGGTGTTTTAGCCCAACACAATCGCTAATCCTGACCAGGTTTGAATTAGTGAAATTTTTGGTGGCCCTTAAAAGGGCCGTTGAAATATCGAAGAGAGATCACAAGAGATCTATTTCTTCTTTGGTGAAGCCTTCTTCTTGCCGGCGGCCTTGGAGGGTTTCTTGGCCGGGGACTTCTTAGGCTTAGTTGGGCTAGCTTTAAGCTTTTTCGGCTTGGGCTTAGCCGGAGACTTTGCTTTGGTGGCTTTGGCTTTCTTGGCAACGGGCTTCTTCTTAGGTGTAGTTGCTGTCTTCTTCGCCGCGGCTTCCTTTTTGGGAGCAGCGGCTTTTTTGGTGGCCTTCTTTACCGCTGGTTTCTTCACCGGCTTGTCCTTGCTGGGAAACTTGAACGAGCCGTTGGCACCGGTGCCCTTGGTCTGGACAAGGTGCCCAGAAGCAACGGCGCTCTTCAGGTATTTCCTGATGAAGACCGCCTTGGACGGGTCCACTTTAAAGTTGGCGACGACGTACTTCTTGATGGCCTGGAGGGAAGAACCGCCTCGATCGTGCAACTTGGTGATCGCCTCGTCGACCATCTGAGAAGTCGGAGGGTGAGATGGTGCCTTCTTCGCCGCTCCAGCCTTCTGGCCCTTCTTGCCTGCTCCTTTGCTGCCCTTCTTCGGTGTCTCAGCCGCTGCCGCCGAAGCGGGTGTAGTCGAAGTCTCAGTCATGACGTGCTTACGCTTTGCTAGCTCGATCTCGATTGTGATATTCCAACCAGTCGGATTCTTCTCAATGCACTGGGACGAACCGTAACGAGAGCACCTCTACTCTCTCCACCAACCTTCTCTCCGTGCTACACTTTAGTGTTTCAATTTTATTTTCGTCCCTTATTTTAAAAAACAACTCTTTTTCAAATCACAAAACGAAATATCTCAATTGATAGAGCATAGATTTAAGTTTACCCTCAAAAAGTTTCAAAGCGAAAAAACCATTCGTTCAATAAGTGAAAGCGATTTCATTAAGCAATAGATCCAATTTCATCATGACAATGATCATTTTTTACAATATAATTGCTTGCACGTTATAATTAAGACAATAACTGTTATACAGACGTCTAGAAGAACGCCTCTAGGATCTGAAAAGCCTAGAAAAATACTTATAGAGCTTTTCACAAAATTATTTTCGCTGTTGTTCCGACGGCATCGAGTGCACTTGAGCAACCACTATCAGAACGTTTGTGTCATGGATATTTATTTATATTTCAGTGACATTTCAAAAACAGGGTGGAATTTTTCACAGGAGAATGATAAATTGTATTTGTAAGAGTAACTGTACCCAAATAGTTGAATTTTTATTATTAAATCGTATTTGTGAGCGTCAAATCCGCGGAAAAACCTAGTATATCTGGACTTTCGAAGAACAACGTTTTCTCATTCTCTTATTATTATTTCCTATGATTAACAAAAAAATCTTATTTATAAGATAAAATTTATAATTTGAATAAAGTAAAAACCAACATTTATGTACAACTTACGGTTAATTTGTCAAAAGGTCCGTTCTCATTAAGGGAATTTTGTTTTGACTTTTCACACAACAATTCATGATATTACCCAAGTTTATTATTTCCTTTTACTGTTTATTATTTTAAATATAACAATATTTTATTAAATTTTTAGTTCTACCTGTCCTTCATAATAGGTATATCTTTAATGTTCATCAAATAAAAATTATATTCCTACTTGTTTCACTGAAACGCCTACCACCTCAATACCGTCATCAACAACAAGATACGTGTCCTCTGCGAGATTTAATTTTCAAATTTACAAGTCTTATAAAAAATAAATAAATAGTATCGCTTTAAACAAACACTATTTTTCATAAATATGCTCTATGATATTGCATAACAAGGGAGAATTGTTGATTTCATGTTCGTTGTTGATATAGGTTTAGGCTAAGTCCATCCGACCTATGGATAAGTTTCAATATTGCCAGTGAAATTTTTGTGTCGTGTAATTTAAAAAGTGCGCTATTCGTTTAAAATCAAAGAGCAATTTTTCTTAAGAATAATTAAGGATCCAAGACTGGTCGAATTACGCAGTAAAACAATTAGACTGTTTTATGTCCAAAAAAATAATATTTCACCCATTTATGTTTTATTGGTCAAGTGACCAAGTTACTTCTTTCAATTAAGTATTATTTTTATGTAAGGTTTTTTGGTTGACATAAAATAATAATAAATAATATTTAGCGATAATCCCTTGTATTTTCATAATTTAGTTTAATTTTATTTATTACCACAAAGGCAGGAATTTAGGAAAAATGATGAATTTTCTTAGGCCGTCTTAAAAATCCGGGGTTATCAAAGAATCAGAAATGGTTGTTAACAAACTTAAAATGGACCTGTATTTTTGTCACCCAAACATTTTTGAAACTTCATATGATCGTCTACGAACAACGGCCGACTCGTTAATTCCACGATCTACAAATAAAAACTTTATTGTTTTGTAATTATTTATTTCAATACATGAGCCGTTTTATTCTACAGTAGAGAAAGTTTGACGTGCAAATATTATTATGTTGAAGTGGAAAACAACTCATTCGGCAAGATATATTTGTATTTCTCTCCCGGAAACTTTTTATTTATAGAATCGATAAGATTGAAGCTGAAATTTTTAAAAGTAAAGGCATAAATAATTCCCAATATGCAGAACGATATATTAGATATACACCGAGATAATAATAATTAAAATTATTACATATTACAGCCGTAATGATAATAACGTATTCATACAACAACATACTATTAAATAATTGTACATTTCAAAAGCAAAATAAAATATCGTTAATAAATAATTTGAAACGAAAATTCGAAGAAAAAAAGGAAACAGAAAATTTCTTGAATATTTGATTACCCAATTTTACTGATATCACATATGTCTAATTAGAAGAGAATTTTCCAAATTAAGTGCTTTTGAGAGATATAGATATATCATATCTACAAACAGCAACAGGTTGGTGGTGGCAGAACGCCATGATGTTCCTAGATTATGAAACAATCAAGCTGAGGACAGACTTTAAGTACCAAGGCTTTGAATACTTTTGCTGATTTTAGTCCGATCTGGTCCAGACCAGATGTCATTTCTTGCGAACCTGTTCTCTGCCAGAAATTGTGGACCAGAGGCAGGCCTTGTCGCATGTAATCTAACTTTTAGAAATGCTCACCTAACAATGTTTAAACTGGCATTTCCAACTTGTTTAAGTTGTTACCTGATCTCAACAATGGTAGAATGATTATTACGGAGTACATTCAAAACAATGAAATGATCGTCTCTGTGAGTTGTGACGTGATGGCTATCTGATCCATGACTTCTTGAGTACCTTGGTAGCGATGGAAGACCCTTCGGACAGTTGTTCCGGAAACGTTAAGCACTCTGCTGGCCCCTTACGCTTGACTTCTTCCATCTTCCAACAATGTTATGATTCTAGCCTAATCTGTATCACTTAACATTATCACACAAATTTGAAACTTAAAAAAATCAAACCACCAGAACTTTAGAAAGAAACTTTATAGAAAAGCCAACAAAGACATGATCGACTATTCAAAGATTTATTTACAAACCCCAATTGTAAACACAAGTGGGAGATTTTATTTACTTCTAATCCTTTAAAACAGACCAAATATTGTTGTAAGATAATCACTGTAGGATTGCCTAACAGATAATCAAAAATATTCAGGATGACCACTTTTTTTTTACCTCTCAGTGTAAAATGCTTAATAAGAATTGCTATTGGATTTATAACTGAAAAGAATATTCAGATTGTTTTCTATTTTATTATTTATATTAGTGATTGAATCATTGAGACATAATTAATTTTGGTTCTAATTATATGTACTATTTTATTTTTATGTTCTCTACACGTGTCGTTAGAAATCATGGTCTGGGGTGGGGTTCTTTCTGGTCAATTGGAGTTTGTCATTTGTCAACTCAGGCTTTATTTGACTTCAAGGACAGGTTAAATTTATAACTACTGTTGGTAGAATCAATGATCACATAAAAACTTTTATGATTTTTAATGTAAAAAAAAAATTGTAGTGGAAATGTCTGAAAATGTAGGTTGGTATGTCTGTGTAGAACTTTCTTGAAGATAATGGTATACTTTTTATTTGAAAATGATAATTTATTTTTATATTTATTGTATCATTTTAGATAGATAAGTTTATTTAATTTGTACGTACATAGGTTTAGATAAATACAATAACATAAGATTTCTACATGGGTGGTGACCCTTCTGCAGGGCTGGCCCACACTTTGATTTTGATCTACCATAAAAATTATTGTCTTCCACCAACGCTTTCAACCTATTTTAAGGTCATAATCAGGCCAAAACAATCTCAAAAGATCTCTACAAAATGCCATAATTAAATTTTTAATAAATAATTTCTCTGAAGATAGACTCAGTCCCAATATTGCCAACACTAATATAATTGATTGCTACAAATATTAATTTAAATAAATCTAGAATGTTCAAACTGATTCTATACAAAGTATAATGGACTATTTGATTCTGAGTCTGCCAAAATTGATCTATGATTTATCATATTATGTAACGAATTATATAAATTAAAAATTAGGCAGATTAAAATAGTCTCATTTTTCAATATCAAACATGTTTATACTTTCTCTGCTTATCAGAATATAGAATAACAAAGTCCAAAATTGTCGGTATCTTCTTTTGAATAATATTCGGTATGTCAAATGTTAGACTTTAACATAACGCTACTGATAACCCAAGATTCAACAGATTTATCATGGATAAATAATAAACAGATTATCTTAACTGCTGATTTTGGTGGATTTTTCCGTGATTTTTTATTTTATAAATATACATGTTTAGATGTCTGACTCACTCATCACAATCTTCTCGATAGATTATAATCAGAGGTTCATCCCAGAGGAAATATTATTTTGTTAATGTAAAGAATCAACAAAAAAGTATAATTTATATTCGTCCCTTCTGTTTTGTTAATTGAAGTTTTTGGTAATTACTTAAGTTTTACAATAGTTCCAGCAGTTAATTACATAAGATATTGAAATGTTTTAATAAAATGATTCGATGATTGAATTTTGTGAGCAGTGTCAGTGGAATGAATCAGCAGGGAATCTCTTATATATCAAGATGATCTGATTATGTTAACAAAGAAACTGATTGTTTTTCTTTTCTCTCAGCTTGACCTATTGTCTGATTAAATACAAAATTAGTTGTTTTTTTCACATCCTACATGTATTTGAATTTATACAATGTTTATGAATCCCTGGCCCTGAACATATGATACATGGCCCCCCAGAGGATCTGACTTGTAAAAGAGGGGGTCATCCTCATGGGGGCTGAAATGAACTAGCTGCTTGTAGCCCCTGGAATCCTACCTTGGTGGATGGATGAGGTCTTTCTCCAGACTACCAACACCCTTGGTGGCTGATTCTCAAGGCCTGCCAGTAATTTAATGTAAATCAGCAAATCTGGAATTGTCAGTGGATTGCGAGGCATGATTGGCTCAACTCTGTACATGCGTGTGCAGATATGAGATTTTATATATCAGTAATCAGTACTAATTTTGTATTATTTGGGGATCGGAAATGTGGTGTGACATAGGTTTTTAGAAAAAACATTTTCTTAACCGGGGCAATGTTTCAATCTTTATTGAGAACATCTTCAGGGCCAGGGATTTTTTTTTTAAAGTACTTTCCTGCTCGAGGCAAAGTCCAACAGAAAATCTTTCCACAATTCAAACTAGCAGACCAAGGATTTACAAACATTGTTTAAATTGTACACATATATGTAGGACATGAAAAAAAGAACTAATGTATGAATTGATGTAGAATGATATCTATAGTCCGTCCAATTTTTAATTTGATTGAATATTTTAAGGTATCGACTAACCAATTCTGATATTTAAAACCATTTTTTATTAAAGAATTGGATATTTTTCTTTTCTTTCAAACTGACCTTATTAAAGGTTGACATCAACTATATTAGGATAATTACTATTACCACCGACAACGTCTGTACTTTCAAATAATTTTTGAACAGATTCTAAAAAAAAAAAATGCATTTTTTGAAACAGTTCTTCAAGAGAGGAAGGATATAATTTCAAAATTGAATTTATTATTATAGTGCTTGTATATTTTAAATATTATGCATATATTTAAATGTCCCAAAGAAGTATTACTTTTTAAATATAACTCTTTTTGAATAAATGCATTAAAAAAATCTTTTAACATAAATACTTATTAAACTTAGTTTCAACTTTTTCACTTTTCAAAAGTTTAATTTTGAATTTTGCCTTTGTTTGTTTATTTTTTAAATCTTAACAGCATTAGAAATAAAAGTTGAATTTTATAGAATTGAATGAATGGTGCTAAATAAGTAGGTCATGAACATTCCACCACTTACCCGTCTACATCAGAACAAAATAAACACGACCCATTTAATACGCATTTGTCGAAAAGTTGCTACATCATACTGATTTTGAGTTGTACAATAAACATATAATAATAAATATAGTGATAATAGTGATCAGTGTGTTCCATAAATAAGATTTGGTACAAAAATATTGATCATTAATAATGCTTTTAAGTAAAACTATATCCACTTACTAACTCTATTTATTTAATAAATTACTAACAAAATATAAAAACCAGTCTGATAAGCTCTATTCAGTTCATTTCCATTAATTAGGTACCGTGTGCATATAAAGAACCAGGATGTTTCCTTTTGAAATAAAAAATGTGGAAGAACAATTGAACAAACAGCTTATGGATGATTTCAAAGGGGAGAGAAACGGTTTTTGTCAGGTGGGCCCGAAAAAGTGGTTTCTCCCAGTGCAATACAAAGACCACGCAGACAAATATTACAATTTCAAGTTACGGGAGGACGATTTATGGATTGTGACATATCCAAGATCAGGTGAGTATGATTATTCATTTAAATAAATAAATTTAAAAAAGTTATAAAATACATTTTTAATAATAATAAAGCATGAGAGTTGAAATAATCAAAGAAATATTGACAAATTGATTGGTCATATGTCTAAATATTTTATTACTAAAAAAAAAAAAAAAAAACATTACAAGGATGTCACAATATTGTTGAGGTCCTTTATTTTTTTTTATGTTTTTTTTTTAAACTACTACCAATATAGTTAAGTATTTCCAATATACATATATATTTTATAGGAACTACTTTTACACAAGAACTACTTTGGTTAGTGAACAATGATTGTGATTTTGAAAAAGCGAAAAACACTGTGTTAATTGAACGATTTCCATTTTTTGAGTAAGTAATGGATGCAAAATATAAAAACTAATAAAAATAAATAAACAATGATATCTATTTCCAGGTTCAACGTCTTGCACAGCAAACAGTTCACGGATGAAATCATTGAGTTGAATGGTAGGAAGGAAGAAGTGATCAAAGAACTAGAGAGACGACATATTCCTGGCTATGTCTTCGGAGAAGAAATGGCTTCTCCAAGGCATCTCAAGACACATCTGCCACTAAGCCTCCTTCCACCCAAACTCCTAGATACATGCAAAGTAGTATACGTTGCAAGGAATGCAAAAGATGTTGCCATTTCGTACTTCCACCACAACAGGTTATTCACTGCTCATGATTTCTCTGGCGATTTCGATAAATATTGGGATTACTTTGAAAAAGACTTATGTGAGTATAATGTGAAATACGGAGTGGGTTTTTGGCCTAACTTGTTATTTTTAGTGTTGTACTCGCCTTATTTGGATCACATCAAGGAGGGCTGGAGCCAAAAGGACCATCCTAATTTGCTATTTTTGTTCTATGAAGACTTGATCTATGTAAGTCTGTTGTAAAATTAATTCAATTAATTTTATGTAGTCTTGGTTGAAATGAAAAAGATAGTGTCATGAGTGGGATTCGAACCCACGACTTTCAGCTTAATACGCTGCTGCTCTAACCATTTGATCTATCTTGACTTCAATCCACTTGGACACCAATTCCCCATCTCAATTTAGACCACTAAACATAAATGTAAAATTAATTTTGAATACTATGAGATTTATTTACATTTTTTTTCTGAGGATTTGGAAGGATGTATTAGGAAAATTGCAGCTTTCTTGAACAAAAGCATCAGTGATGAACAAATCGAGAAGCTCAAAAAACACTTGCATATCGACAATTTCAGGAATGTACCTATTATGAAAAATGTAAAAATAGATGGCCTGGTGAACAGCGGAGCTGAGGGGTTCATAAGGAGAGGTGTGTACTGACTCATCTTCCCTTTCAAATAAGTTGTGTACACGATAATGTTTCCTTTTTAGGGAAAGTCGGTGGAAATAAGGAATACGCCACAAACGCCGATCTAGACTCGAGAGCTGATAAATGGGTGGAAAACAATTTGCCCAAAACAGGTGTGAAATTTCCCATGAGGAATTGATTAAATAATGAACAATATTTGTAGTTTTCATGAACAAAAATGAGTAAACATTTTAAATAAACCATAAATTTGTAGAAATAATAAAACAAGATAATAAAAATGATTATATCGCTTTTATCTAGAAGTTATAATTTAAAAATCACCTTGTAATGTCTTCTACCATATTCTAGCATTCTATCCTGGTGCCTGTTTTTATGAACATAATTAGCCTTATTATTATGGTGAACAGAGTTTTTTAAGGTTCAAAAAGTTCCAAGGGAAATGTTGGGAATTGAATCAGCAATCAAGTGCTTATGTCTTTGCTGTATTGTTTTATTTTTAACCAATTTATAGATTTCTAACATTACTGCCTAGCATTTCATATTCTTGATTTCTATTTAAAAAAAAAGCTCATTTCCTTGTCATACAAGATGAATCAATCAAAAATATGAGGGTGTATCAACTATAAAAGACTGATTTTTTTAAATGTAAAAGATGTAGCCTGAAAGGGGTTGACGTGCAGGTAGATTTTACTGTTTGCAACTCTCCCAAGTCTCCTTAATATCAATAGAAACCATGAATAAGAAAGAAGTGTATTATACCATGGAGCATCAGACTATAATCGAATTTCTGACTAAGGACGAGGTGAATCCAATGGAAATTCTGGAGCAATTAAAAGCACAGTACAGGGACAAGAACCCATGATCGCCCAAGGACAAGAGTGACCAAGGCCAACATTGAAGCAGCATTTCACGACGAGTTTCTGCATGAATGACGTACAATTAATGCGCACTTTTATTTTGAATTTTTGGATGCTGCAAAAATGTCATTCTTCTACATACAACACCAGGCCTCATAACAGTGCCACGAGGTAAAATTCAGATGCAATAGGATGGGCTATAGTCCATACTTTCTTCTTTTTGGAAGCACTTGGAGGCCTGAAGTGAATTTTTTAAGTCTTGTTTGTATTTGATACACCCTAGTAATAACAAACAAAATATTTAGGACATTTTTAGCAGTAAAACTGATAAAAGTTAGACAACAAGTGAAAATATTTTTATTGATAATTTTTAAAATTTACAGATCGGTTCACACTGTTTTATATAGGAATGTAAAGTGTTAAAATAAACAATGCGTACAATCAACAATATGGCACGAATACAATCAAGGGATAAAAACATCAATAAATAAATTATTGATGAATCAAGTGTTTAATTTTTCTCTCTTTTGTTGAACATTTTATTTGAAATGATAAACGTTTGAAACAATACAAAATTCCAAATATTATAAACATGAAACAATCCTGATGGTCCCTCACACAATTATATGAAGATAAAAATTGTTTTGATAAAAAAATTACTTTTAACACAAGACACAGAGATACTTTCGTTTTCAAACTTCATGACGGGATTATCAAATGCTGTTTAGGTTGTTGAATGTGCATCATCCTTGAAATAAATTTCAAAATTGGTTATCACAGATTACTAATAAGACTTTTGATAACAAAACCTAGATTGATTGGCTTTTGTTTGGTAGCTGATGAGTTTAACAATATTTTATTAACAAACATGTAAAATATTTTGATTTGAGCTGTGTTGCAAATGACAAAAAATAAAGTATATAAAATAATCTTGCTTCCTAATTTACTTTTTTTTTTTTTTAATATTGATTATCAGTCTATATATAAGTCTATTCTGTGCCTTAAATTTTTTAAAAAAATTAATTATTTACAGCCTATAGATTTCACTGATTTAAAAAAGAAAATATTCTAAAACAGTTCAACAATTTAAGAGATTCTTAAATTTTCCAAGGATGGTGTTCATTTAGAAAAAACCATTTGCTTTTGGAAGAATGCAATAACAAAAGTGCAATCAAACATAAATTAACCTGCAGGCGCCTCTTCGTAGACCTGTTTGACTTTGGCAAGAAGCATATCACAAGTTTTCTTGGCATCGCCGAGAAGCATGCTTGTATTTGGTTTGTAGAAAATAGGATTGTCAACAGCAGCATAACCGACACCGAGGGATCTCTTCATCACAATTACCTAGCAAAAAAAAAGTTAACATTGATGCATTAAATTTTAATGTTTTTATCATTACCTGTTCCGAGTTCCAAACTTTAAGAACTGGCATGCCAGCAATGATTGAGTTTGGATCGTCCTCAGCTGCGCTGTTCACTGTGTCGTTAGCACCAATGACTAAAGTGAGATCAGTTTCATTGAAATCATCATTAATTTCATCCATTTCTAAAACGTCATCATAAGGAATTCCTGCCTCAGCAAGAAGTACATTCAATTGCCCAGGCATACGGCCTAAAAACAGCAAACAAATTACATTAAAAGTAATGTTTTATCATTTTATTTTTTTAATATTATCAATATATTTAACCTTTTTGTTAATCTTACAATTAATTAAGGTTTTCAGTTGAGATAAAAAAGTCTGGCAAAAAGGAGGGAAAATTCAAAAGGTGTGGTTGAGATGGGAGGTTGGTGTCTGAGTGGATCAAGGTCACGATAGCTCAAGTGGTAGAGCAGCAGCGTATCAAGCCGAAGATCGTGGGTTTGAATCCCGCTCGTGCCATTGACTTTTTTATCTCAACTGAAAACCTTAATTAATTGTAAGATATTAATTGGTCAAGCGGACCATGAAACTAGTGAATTAAACTTTTTGTTAATTACCTGCAACTGGGTGAATTCCAAAACGCACTTTCTTGCCCTTTTTCTTTAGAAATGAGACCATTTCAGCAAGGGGGTATTGGGCCTTTGCCACAGCAAGTCCATACCCAGGGGTGATGATGATGTTCTTTGCATTTTTGATGAGTTCGGCTACTCCATCGACTGATACTTCAGAGTGAGTACCAGTGATTTCCATCGGCTTGCCTCCTTGCGTTGAAGAAGTACCGTATCCTCCAAGGATGACATTGGCCAGGGAACGATTCATTGCCTGCATTTTATGGTAAATTGTTAATTAAGTTGTTTTTGTGAAAGTCCAATCTTTAATATACCTTGCACATTATATAAGAAAGGATAGCACCAGAGGAACCAATTAAAGCTCCTACGATTGTCATAAGGTTGTTGTTTAACATGAAACCCTCAGCACACAAAGCCCAGCCAGAGTAGCTGTTCAGTACGGTGATAACAACCGGCATGTCTGCACCACCGATTGCAGAAGTGAGTGTCGCTCCCATTGTTGTTGAAAGTACAGTTGCTGCGCCGAGAGAAGCCAACCCACCCGAGAGTGTAGGGTCTGTGAAGAAATATGCCATGGAACCAATGTTAGCTGCCAAAAGAGCTGCATTCATTGCATGACGACCAGGAAGGAGAAGAGGTGAAGAGTTAAGGAGGCCTTGTAACTTTCCGTAAGCAACTAGAGAACCACTGAAACATTGTTGTTAATTTCACTAATTTCATGGTCCGCTTGACCAATTAATACATTACATTTAATTAAGGTTTTTAGTTGAAATAAAAAAGTCAATGGCACGAGCGGGATTCGAAAAAAAGAAAAATGGCAAAAAGGAGGGAAAATTCAAAAGGTGCGGTTGAGATGGGAAGTTGATGTCCGAGTGGATCGAGGTCACAATAGCTCAAGTGGTAGAGCAGCGGCGTATCTAGCCGAAGATCGTGGGTTCGAATCCCGCTCATGCCATTGACTTTTTTATCTCAACTAAAAACCTTAATTAATTGTTGTTAATATCTGCTTGTCCATATAATTATATTTTCTCTTCTACCTGAATGTAACACCTCCGATTATAGTTCCCAAGAAGAGTGATGATTTAATGACATTAGCTGCTGGATCTGTAGCAAGAGTTGGGAAATCGTGGATAAATGTAGCTGCACATGTCAAAACAGCAGCAAGCCCGACTAAACTATGGAAAGCGGCAACGAGCTGGGGGAGATCAGTAATTTGAATCTTCTTGGCGACAACAGCTCCGACACTTCCTCCAATACCAGCGCAAGCCGCCATTTGTAACAAAACGTCAACACTTGGATTCATGTAACCAAGAGTAGCTGCAATGCCTCCTGCCACGCCAACCTTTAAAAAAATCACGCTTTTTATTTAAAGATCAAAAGAGGGAAAAAATAATAAACATACAATTCCGAGATTGTTGCCTGTCCTGGAAGTGGATTGCGAACTAAGCCCTGCCAGTGCACCCACACAACACAGTGATGCTGCTAGGGCTGCCATATGGTGCATCTCAGAATAGCCTGCCATTACGCCAAGACCATATCCTCCGACGAGAGAAGCTCCCGGTATAAGAAACAGACCATTGTAGTCTGGAGGATCCTCAGGCCTAAAATCTCATTGCTATATTGTTTTGGCCAATTATTTCTTTATGAAGTATGTATACCTTCTAAACATATCCAACATCCGTTTTGTCACGATAAAACCACCAAAAACATTAGTGAAGGATATCAGGGCAGCAGTTGCAGCCAAAGCCTAAAATAATTAAATTTATTTTCTTTTTTCCTCTTAATAACATTCATCATAATCAGGATCTTTAAACATAAATGAATTTTAGGTATCATTTATTTTACTTGTCTGCCTATTCTCTCTAGTTTGGTCTGTCGGATCTGATTATTCTGATTATGTTTATAGCATGTAAAAACAAAAGTAAAACTTTGTACACTGGCCACCATCTTAGAATAAGTTGTAGTTGTAGTAAGAAAAAAAAATGAGTTTAAATGAAAAAAAGGCTGTAATTCCGAAGGGGCGATCACCCAGACCGGAACAATGTGACGTTCCCCATCAATCTGGTTAACATAACTCTGCAATAATTAAGCAGTTGGTTGAAGGTTGTCACAACAGAGATGGGAGTAATATGACGTTCCTCACAAACCAGGGAAACAGAGCCCTGCAAATTTTACAGTTGGCCAAATAAATAAGAATGTCGAAGTTTCCCATGAACCTGGAAAACATAAAAAAAAGTTGCGATAGTTAGACATCCGATCAAATAAATAACTAATTTTCTAATTTCGTGGCCCGCTTGACCAATTAATATATTACAATTAATTATGGTTTTTAGTTGAGATAAAAAAGTCAATGGCACGAGCGGGATTCGAACCCACGATCTTCGGCTAGATACGCCGCTGCTCTCTGATTGAAAAATGGCAAAAAAGAGGGACAATTCAAAAGGTGGGGTTGAGATGGGAAGTTAGTGTCCGAGTGGATCGAGGTCTGTGGTAGAGCAGCGGCGTATCTAGCCGAAGATCGTAGGTTCGAATCCCGCTCGTGCCATTGACTTTTTTATCTCAACTAAAAACCTTAATTAATTGTAATATATTAATTGGTCAAGCGGACCACGAAATTAGTGAATTTAATGATTTAAAATGAAGTATACTTCACTAAAGCTCTCCGTGGCCATTTCATTTGTCGCCGAGAATCCAATCCGATTACACATTTGAAAAATGGCAAAAAGGAGGGAAAATTCAAAAGGTGGGGTTGAGATAGGAAGTTAGTGTCCGAGTTGATCGAGGTCACGATAGCTCAAGTGATAGAGCAGCGGCGTATCTAGCCGAGGATCGTGGGCATGAATCACGCTCTTGCCATTGATTTTTTTTATCTAACTAAAAACCTTAATTAATTGTAAATAACTATATATAAAGTTATTTAGGGCAGAAGGGTTGTAGGCCAAAAAAATGTAGCGGCATGGGACATGGTACATTGGAGTTGCGCCACATCCATCTTTGCCGGTACACCCTACTCCCCTGACTTTTGATTTTCTTTTCCACCCTACTCCAGCAGAGAAACTGGTATAAAAAGGGATGATTTGGAAATCAAAAGTCTGTTAAGACCAACGGCTTACACCAGTGAGTCAACAGGTGAGAATAGACTCACCTCAGAAGACTGCCCTTAGTCAAGACTGAAGACTCACTCCAGGCAGTGAACAGTCAACTCCAGGACGCGATCAGAAAGAGAAGCAGCCAGGACTGAACAAGAGGACTCAGCCAGCGAAGACCAAATATTGCAATCCATCAGCTCAGGTTGATGGTCGAGAAACCAGAAAGGGGCTGAGGATGCTGTGGAAGCTAATTGTGGCGAGCGTCCCTTTGTCCACTCATCCCAGATTTAGAGTTATGGCTGGCTGAATTGATTAATTAAGATTTTGGTGTGGTTGCGTACATTTAAAAGAAGGAAATGTATTAAAATAAACGTTGAAGATTATATTCTGGTTTATTGAATTCCAGAACCTCACCGACCCCTACACAAGAATAAGTAGCGCAGTGCTTAAGCTGACTATCTGACTGTCTTATCGCTTAGAGAAAAACAAGCAATGCAGAGAGATTATTCTGCCGTTGCCGCTTACAACTTCAAACATAGAATGGAATTAGTTGGTGTCTTGTCTCATACTGTTTATAACCCTTACTAACCACTTCAGTGACCATTGCTTCACCCGGCAAAATGCCAAAACAAGTCTAACAGACAAAAAACACGAAAAACAGGCAGATCAGGATGAGAAAATTAAATCACATGCCTCACCAAAATGTTGCACAATATAAGATTGTGCTATTTGAGAGAATTTGTAAATATATACCTCAACAGCATTAGTAGGGTATAAGCCTCCATTCATGAGCAGCAGCCCACCGACAGCTGTTATCCCCGAAATGGCATTTGTAACTGACATCAGGGGAGAATGAAGTGCAGGTGTGACACCCCAGACGGTGTGATAGCCCACAATACCGGCCAGAGCGAATGTAGAGGTCATGGCAGAAAACTCTGGATTTGGTGATGCCGCACCAAGTGCCAAAATGCTTGATAATCCTATAAAAATCAAGTGAAAAAAATGTACATATCTTTTACACAAACACTATTGGACAAATGTGCTCTATGAATGCTCACCAGCTGTGTAAAGTGCAACTTCTTTACTCCTTTCTCTGAATGGACTTACAGCTTTGACCTCTTCTAATTTAGCCACTTTTGGCTTTACAGGAGGAGGTGCAGCTTGCACTGGGATGGGAGGTGGTGGCCACAGAAGTTCACCTTTCAGGAGGACTAGAGACCCTCTAACAACATCATCCTTTAAATCGATATTAAAGTGATTCTTTTCTCCTATAAATAAATTATCAAATCAATTTTATAATTGGATAAACTGAGAATTGTATTTTGTATAATATAAAGAAATTTATTAAAACAGTACTTTTTCTATAAATATAACTCGCATTGAATTCTGCTAAGTTAAACATCTCTACATTTTATTGGACGTCTAATTAAATTTCTTTACCGATTGAAAGAAGAAATTTTGAAATGTTGTTTGCATAGAGTGTTGAGCTTTGGGTGGGAAGACGAGAGGGAAGATCGGTTACACCAATGTGAGTCACATCTTTGTATGTGTAAATCTCCCCTGGCTTGGTTGTCTCGATGTTACCACCTGTCTCGGCTGCCAGGTCAACAACGACGCTACCCGGGCTCATCGACTCGATATGTTCCTATAATGTAAATTGATTAGTTTCATAGAGGTATTTAAATAATTTTAAAAAATATCACCTTTTTTATTAGAATGGGAGCTTTCTTTCCAGGGATGAGCGCAGTCGTTATGATGACATCGACCTCTTTAGCTTGCTTGGCAAAAAGAGCCATCTCCGCTTCGATGAACTCTTTGGACATCTCTTTACTGTATCCACCAGCAGTAGCACCTTCTTCCTGAATTTAAAGCATAAAAGTGACAATTGGGCTAAATTTTGCATATTTATTAAGCATTTGAAGATGCATTATTACAATAATTTAAGACAAGTCAATAAAGTAACATCAGCAGTGACATAGTAGGTCTGAGATACGACTGGCATGGGATTTTAATAAATAAAAAGACATACCAGTATCATATGTGCTGAGGTCACAGATGTATCATGTCTACTTTTGACTACTTAACAAGAAGGTGATGAAGTAATCAGGCGTAGCCATCGGGGTGATGAGTTAGGTGTACTCATCTTGGATACCCTATATGGGCCAGATTTCTGGATTACTTTTTCAACACTGATGAAGGGTAAACTCACACCACAAACTTTGTCTGTCACGTAAACTTATTGATACATAACATGGGAATTATGCTGTGGTTGACTCAAATTTGGCAGTTATTTCCACATTACTTGGAAAGATATAAAAAGTGGTTAAAAAGAAAGACTAAATTGTCAGCAACTTGAACATACAGCCCAAGGACAAGGGCATCTGATAAAGCAGTCATCATTTTCAATCAATAATTTTATAAAGTGAGCTAGTTGAGGTGATCCATTAACAAAGTATGACAAGGTTGATATTGACTTATTGTGTCTTGGGTGAATGTACAAATGAAAAAGTTTCTTCTGCCAGGCATTAATTATTCCTTCTTCTCCTCTATCAGCAGTATTGGATGGGGCAGTTAGACAATAAAACAAACCTTTATGTTTATTTCCAAGAACTCAGCTCCCAAAGATTCAACTTGCTCTTTCACAGCTGACCTGGTGTCAAATGCTCTGACAATCGCTCCCATGTTCCTGGCTTGCCCGATTGCTGCAAGTCCAGCCACACCACCGCCAATGACAAGGACTTTTGCAGGAGGAACTTTTCCTGCTGCCGTGATCTGACCTGAAAATGATAGTCGAATGTAACTTTACATTTACGTTTTTAAAATCATTAGCTTTTTGCGAAGGGTGTTTAAGCCCGAACACTAGCTTGCGCTAGGTCTCCCCTCCCCTTATTTAACGAGTCTATTTGTTTTGTGACTATTACTAGAACTCCTTGCTTCTCAATGCTTGGATGTCTCTTTTTCTCTTCCATACAAGTTTTCTTTTTTTATTTCGAGAAGAGAAGTTTTCTTTGAATCTTATAATTATTTTTGTTTGTTTGTTTGGAAAATGGTAATACTGCCAAATAAAAGGAATCCATTGAAAGTTTTTGTAGGACTCTGTTGGATATGTTCCAATCTGACAAGAAAATGCACAAACCACGATTATCTTCAACTTTCACCAAGGACAAAAATCACATAAAATTATCAGTGAATGCATCCAAAATCTCTAAAACCTGGGGAAACCACTGATGATATCTTGGATAGAAGGATACAAAGGAATTTTGGCAGACACACTGGGAAGAGGAGAATCTGTAAGGCCATATATAGGCCCTGAACCAATCCTTGGGATAACAAAAACAACACAGAATCCTCCATTACAAAATAAATCCACAAAAGACAAAAGGAGAAATTCATAAACTACAGAGGTTCTAGACACAGTAAGCATACGCTAAAACAACCCTCACCAAGACTAGGAAACACTGTGACAGTTAAGGTGGCCATCACGATCGCTCCAAATGGAACCACGCCAAGCCGTATAGCTCCATTTGGAGTGTATGAAATTTGAGGGGGCATTTATGACCACTCAACAGCCAGTCGTTCCGAACGTCATCTAGTGAATTACCTTCTCAAAATGGATGATACGCTCTTGTGCTACGCTGCTGTTTGTTATATATTAAAAGCAAAAAACTAAAGACGAAATGGTGTGGCTCCTGAACAGAAGCCGTAATACCCACATCAATTGGATGAAAGATCTTTCCCTTGAAGCCGCTGATTGGAGGAACTATTTAAGGATGGATGAAACGTCTTATTTATTCATTATATTTAGTGTTCTACTGACCAAATTACTTCTTTCAATTAATTAATTTTTTTTAAGGTTTCGGTTGAAATGAAAAAGCTAGTGCCATGAGTGGGATTTGAATCCATGACCTTCGGCTAAATGTGCCGATGCTCTACCACTTGAGCTATTGTGACTGACAAAAAAAAAAAAAAAAATTATTTTACATCTATCGTGGTAATCATTGTCCACCACTTTCCATTAACATAGTAAATTTTCATACAATTCAATCATATCAACAATAAAATCTCGATTGGATCTCATTGCCAATAAAAAAGAAACGTTTTCACTTTTTGAGAATGTAGGACGGAGATGTTTACTCGGTGACAGAAAGACGAAGACTGAACCAAAAAAACACGGGTTCTCCCATTCACGACCAAGCCAGTGCTCCAATATTCCACCATTCACACCAGGTTTTCCCATTCACAAACGCGCCATGCCGTCGCTGTGCCGTAGATATTTGGAGTGGCGCGATGGAGTTTGGACCGGTCGAATATTCAGCACAGCGCCAGTTCCGTTTTGCCATTAACGTGGTTTTTGGACAGCGTCACTCCGTTTGGACTGCTAGGGGCGATCGTGAATGGCCACCTTTAGAGAGGGCTAAAATAAGAAGAGTGATATGACTATTTACCAGTCACTGGCATCTAAGCAAACATATTCAATGATGTTCCAATTTGTGGATTATGCAATGAAGGGGAAGAAACAGCCACCCATATCATCTTCGAAACCAAACCAACCTCTCAATGGAGACATTATATATATGTATATATATATATATATATATATATATATATGTAGGATGTTCACCGCCACTACGTCAACGGAGGCCCTACATGGCGGGAACTCTGTCTCTCCCCTCTATCTGGACCCCAGCTGACAGTTTTAGTTGTTACCACCACGCGGTCCTACGAACACGTTTCTTTTTACGCTAATGTATTTTAATGTTAACTAGTTATCCTTTTACTTTTGTTTATGTGTTCTTTACCAATAAACTTTAAATCTTTATCTTTTTATTTGTGGGAGACCTTTAATTCCCTACATTTTGGGGGTCCGTCTTAAAAAAAAAAAAAGTGAAATTGAAGTGACGCGTTCTCATCAAGCAGCATCATGTCACCTAAGGCAAAAAGACAAACCGATTTCGGCGCAGATGGAAACCAGGTTCGTTCAATTTCTTTTCGCGACGTGGAGGAAGCGATTCCCTCATTTTCGGGTGATGATGACTTCGATCTGCGTTCTTGGATCGCAAGTTTCGAGGAAACGGCCGTATTATGCGAATGGAACGACACGCAAAAACTCATTTTTGCCAAACGAAAACTGGTCGGCTCGGCAGCGATGTTCCTAAAATCAGAATCAGGTCTGATCTCATGGAAACTGCTGAAGGACGCCCTTGCAGCCGAGTTTGCAAAACCACTGAACAGCGCAGAAATCCACACGCTTTTATCGACATCAAGAAAACGGAAAAATGAAACGTTACGACAGTACTTTTACCGCCTTCGCGAGATCGCGAATCGGGGTAAGTTGGACGACGATGCTTTATTTACATACGTAATCAAAGGGATTC